AGCCCCCCCGGTTCCGCCGTCCCTGATCCTTCTATCCTTCCATCTTTCCATCCTTCTATTCCTCCATCCCTCCGTCCCTCCATTCCTCCATCCATTCATAGGTCGATTGGTTCGTTCATTCCTTCCTTTCTTAGTCAAATCGTTGGGACGACATTCAGGCTTTTTTATCACTTGTGCATTTGGTCACATGATCAGCGTGCTAATGTCATTCTTATATTATGAGAAATTAAATACTTTATCATGAGATGGAATATGCATGTTAAGACACAAAGTCTAGAAATCAAAATTTTCATCCGACCGGTAATATCCCTTATCCAGAACAAATATTATTTTCAAAATACATTACAATTGTATCATTAAACTACATCGAGGAATGTATTAAATTCTCCTCCACACGTACATATACATATCTCACTCGCTGTTGTGTGGTGTCCCACAGCGATCGTTCCTTGGTCCACTCTTCTCTTTTTATTAATAGGCCACAGTCGATATCTTAATTCACACTTGATTGCGAGGCTTAGTCACGTAGTCACGTAACCACGTAGCCACATATAGCAACTTAGTTCATGGTTAGGGTCATCATGTGTAGCCAAGTGTCTAGCAAGGATGGCAGATCGGCTCTGACGGGCTGATGAAAGTAGTTTGATTCATTGTATTCGGCCTCGTAGGCTCTCAAATGACTAATGTTGGGCTGCTTGTGGTGTGGTTGATGTGTCTGAGCCAGCACGTTATTTTTAAATGTCAGCGGAAGGTTACATAAGACAATATGGCGGACGAAGTGGAAGAAATGGAGATTGAACCTGACGCTGTAAAATATCCCACTTGTTCATTGATACCAAGCTGCGCTAACAATGTGAATGAAGATATCAAGAATACTGAAGATGACGTTCGTCAAGATCCTTCGTCCAATGATGTAGTCCCAAAGACAACGTCATGTTGTCGACCTTTCTTCGGTATTTCTTTTGCCATTCTGTCCACGTTTGCTGTTGTATTAACCAACTTGTTTGCGAAATTGTGTAAACAAATACCAGTGTTTGAGATTGGACTCATAAGGTTTATGATTCAACTGGCAATCACAATCCCATTCGTGATCCACGCAAATGATAAGATTGTCTTTTCCCCAAAGATAATTGTATATCTGATCTTGAGAGGATTCACCGGTACTTCTGCTATGCTAACACGACTTTACGCTGTACAGAACATGCCAATAGGTGATGCTACAGTACTGATGTTCACGACTCCTGTGTTTGTCGCCATCTTTGGAAGAATATTCCTGAAAGAACCACTCCATAGGATCTACATCTTTCTTTTACTTCTCTGTTTAGCTGGAGTTACATTGATTGCTCGACCTGTGTTCATCTTTGGACATCAAGTCACTACCGAATATGAAAATATTTGGTTACCTTCGCTTGTCGCTGTGAGTTCTTCTATATTTGGAGGGTTCTCGTTTATTTTTGTTAAGCTTCTTAAGAAGCATTTTATCACATCTTCAGTGATCATATTCTACCATGGTTTGGTCGGGCTCATTTATTCAATATGTGGTTCGTACTTTGACAGAGGATTTCAGTTTCCTTTCTGTAAAAGTATCGACTATATATATGCAATTCTCGTCGGTGTTTTTGGATATTTAATACAAGCAGCTTTGAATGCTGCTCTTAAATTTGAAAAAGCAGTTATAGTTTCTTTGACCCGCACCTTAGGTATTGTGTTTGGGTTTGTTGTACAAGTATTAGTTTTTTCTCTTGTACCAAGTGGTTTGAGTTTTGGTGGGGCAGCATTGATCTCCCTGAGTAATGTCATTATATTAATTTTCAAATGGAAGAAATCAAAACGGGATAGGGAAGTTGAATTTAGTGCCACTTAATGATAGCCCAGCACATTAGGAAGTGGCCTAATTATATCTCAGAAGAAAATTTTTTGGCAAAATGTGTACCCCTGCGTTGCACAATTTTACATTATCTAAGGCAGAAATTTCAAATGTTAATCTTAAGTTGAGTGGAACCTAAATTATGACAAAAGGAAACCCGAGGGGGAGGGGGGAGGGACTCCGGGGTAAAAGTATCGGGTATGCTCGTTAGAAATTTTTTTTATCCTAAAAGATACCAAGAAATGCCAAGTTCTAAATTTCAATTTTAACACCCTCCTAAAAGATACTAAGTCTATGTTTTTAACCCCTGAAATACAGTGTAGGACGAGCATACCCAATACTTTTAACACGGGGTTACCCCTGGCAAGAAAATTGCCTTCTTATTGATTGCTTTAATTTTTTAATTTTTTTCAATGCTGACATTTCACCTTGTTTTACTTTTATGAGAAAAGGTGCATTTTCTATTAGGGGGAGTGCTGGGGCATCAGAGGCAGGAGTCAGCATAAAAAGTGGAAGTTTTGTCAGAGGAGGGTCAAAGCTTTTTATTTTGTTGAAAGCTGGTTCCTTGGTGACTTAATAAGAGGGTCATGAATTTCTCACTGAGTAAAAAGGGAAGGTACGGGCTATAACCATTTTTAAAAAGTTCATTGTGAATCTCCCAGCCCTCCTTTCCCTCCAAATAAAAAACATACCTTTTATAAACATATTTTGATTCGTAATTTTTCTTGCATGAGAACTACGTTATACCAGCCTGCCTTGTCATTCTCTAGTTCCCCTTCACCAGACTTTTTAGATATGCTTTTTATGTAATCAGTACTAACAGTAAAATTTAAGAAACTGATTTTTTAAAGTTAAAAACGATTTAAGGCTGCATTCATAATGTATGGCAGAGGTAATGTAAGCAAGGCTTGTAGCTTCTTCCAAAAATTGTGCATCCACCCATTTTTCTGATAAAAATTTGCCCATCCCCCCTTTTTCTTACCAAAATTTTCCTGATCCCCCCTCAATTTCACCTGCCCCCCCTCCCCCCTCTACTATACATTGTGAATGCAGCCCAAGAATATTATTTAGCATGAATGTTTGAGAAAGCAATAATCATTTTAAACTTTTATATGAGAAGAAAATCTATATTTTATAAGTATCAAGTAGAGTGAAGTCATTAAACCCATGAAATAGATATTAGACTAATACACTGTGTTTTCTTTTGTGTCTATTACACGTCGACTAGTATTTGTTATTTCAAGGGTTAAATGCCTTCACTCTATTTCTTAGCATTTGCAAGAAAACTATTTTTTAAATTAAAATGGATAATAATAATAAACTTTATTTATATTGTAAAGCACTGAAACTGCTATGAAAAAATTATTTTGAAACAATCCAGAAAATATTCAATGCAAAAATGAAATAGATAATAAAAAACTGACAGAATTATTATGTATAGACTATGATTAAAAAGACCAGCCTGTCTCGTTTTAAAATTTTTATCTTCATTTTTAGAACAAGACTCTCTTAAAAATCCCTGTCACAGTAGAAACCATTCTCAACTTTCACATCCCCATAATGCATTGCATCTTTTGGGGGTAACCAATCAAAAAACTGTCCCAAATTGAAAGGTTTCTTAATTGAATTTATACTAATAATATATATTCCCACTTTTATCTGTACAATACTGATTATCAGTTTATTTCAAGTTATTTTTGTATGTACAGAAAATCAAGAGTTTTGGTCTTACAGAAAATGTATCGACTTACGAAAAAATGATTAAAAGTTACCTTAAACGTCTTCAAGCTTCTATCTTTTTCTGTTTTTTACTTCTTCATTTTATTTTTGGATACCAAACAAGGTATTGTCAACATTGTCTGATCAGCCTTCAGCAAAGTAAGTGGGTTTTTACCCTCTGGTTACCCCCCAAAGACGCAAATTATTATGGGGATGTGAAAGTAGAGAATTATTTATTGGAGGGGAAGGAAGAGATGGTTCAGAAATTAAAATACTGATTTAAGGCGTAAATACACGGAGCAATATTTTCTCTGCAACTTGTCTCGCAACAGCATTGTGACACAAGTTGCAAGAGTGTCCACACGGTGCAACAGAGGCAACGAAATCTACTTTTGGCAAAGATTGCTGCAACTTGTTTTGCAACATTTTTCAAATTGCTCTGCTTATTGCGCTAAGCCATAGTGTCCACGTTTAGCAACAATGGCGTTTATGTGCTAAACCACATGGAGTTTCATTTTCCAAAGGCGAAAGTTGCTATTGCTTTGCCGTAAAGCTAGCATGGCTGCTGTAAAATACCTTTATTCTCCAATTGCACGTTACGTCGTCATCTCCACATTCAAAGTACAAGACAACCCATACCAGTATCTATAATTCTAGACATGAGGTTTTTGACTTTCATCAATCAAATTTCCGATTTGAGTAATTTTGTCTGTCTGTCTCTCTGTCTGCCTGTCTGCCTTGTCTGTAAGTCTGTCTTTCTGTAAGATTATGTGTAATACCAACGACAACCTTGGCCCAGATATTTTCTTTATTTCTGCAATTGTTACTACAGTTATTCGTTACTACAGTTCTCAGAATCCACAGACAAAGTCATCTTTAAAATGGTCAAAAATCCTTACTTCAAATTGCTTTGGTAGTTCGGGTTAAACTTGATATTTCTGGGGTTATATTGACACAATTTCAGTCTTTAGATGGGGTTTCATGGCAACTACTGTATAGTGCTGAAGGATGGAATTTTCGTAACGCAAAAAAAATCGCGTTCCTGCCGTGCAACATGACTCATGGCTTATTAGAGAGTTTTAGATTTACGTTCACGGTAAACGTGAAACGTCAGTTGACCAGTAAAAAATCATTCTAACTTACTGAAAAAGAACCAAAAAAGTCCAAGTAGAAGAAAACCAAACGAATATTTTCGCTTGGTGTGAAGGTGTGAAGAAAACTATGGAAACGTGGTCACGTTTGCCGTTTGCGGGGAGAAAAAAATGTCAATCTAAAACTCTCTATTACTGCGAAACCTCGTTAACCTGTTACGTAATGTTTTTCTTTTGTTTATTCGCCAAATTGTACCACCCCAATTATTAATAATCATTTAGATTTATTAGAGAATTATTAGAGAATTTTAATTAGTTATCCGCTTCTCCAGATAGGATGAGCTCAAAAGAAAAGGGCTTGAACATGTAACCAGTTCCAATGTAAAACTTGCTTTGGAACTCCACCCTAAACAGAAAATAAAGTATAGGTACTGTCAATGTCTATTGGGGCATAGTTAATAGATTATTAACTATGATTAGAGTGATTTTACTTGGCCCGCGAAACAAAGGTTTATTAATTAGTGGCTAACAGTCAAAGTACAACAAAAGAGAACAATGGATCGGAATTTGTTTCAACTACCATCAAGGGCGGATCCAGCCAAAATTTTAGGGGGGGGGGGGCTAATTGAGTTTCTTCCGTCAACTCAACGGAAAACAATAAAAAAAGCATCTAATTCTTCAGTTTTGTTTTGTTTTTTTCTGCTGAAGGGGGCTTCAGCCTCCTTTGCCCCCCTCCGCCCCCCTGAATCCGCCCTTGACCATGTATTTTACGTTGGCTATTTTTTCACGGGCAAAGTAAATATGTATCACCATATCATGATGGTCGTAAAACGTTTAGTAGGAATAACAACACCGATGGAACTGGATTCCCAAATTAAAGTTGAATAGAATTACCAGTGAAGACGAAGTGCGTGCAAAAAGGCAGACAATCCTTCCATAATGAGAAGAATAGCGATGGTCAGCACTGGAAAAATGAGAGAAACAAACATTAATCCTGAGCCGTAGATTATTTATGTTGGGTATCGAAATAAAATAGACCTTTTCAGCGTGGGCGAATTGTTTTCTCATTTCAAAACAGAATCTTATTCTCTATAGGGAATAACACAAGACCTGAAATGGGAAAACATTACACCCATAAAGGTATTTTACATACATTGGTTCACTGGTCAAACAAAAAGCATTCTATCGAGGCTGCAAGGTTTAAATTTGAATAATCCTTTCAAACTACTTTAGCTCCCCGCTTGAGCGCTTTGTGTTCGACCAGTGAACCGGTTTCTGGAAAGTGGTTAACTGCATCTAATCTTTGACAGGACGACAAGCATGTACACAATGGTGCTGTACCGTTGAGGTTTCTGTCAGTGTTCTGTCTGGCACAAACATGTGGTAAATCCAAGAACAAGTTTTAATAGAAGAATGTTATAAGGAAATGTTACCTGCCCACAACGAAAACAATCCAAATGTTGCAATGATTCCTAATGCTCCTTTCATTGGCAGGCCTAGATGTAGAACCATCTGCCAAAGAACCTCGGATAATTCTGTTTAATAACACATGCACCAATATCAATAAGTCATAACTTAGTGTTAAGGTGTTTTGTTGCTTGGAAAGTATTAAAGAAAAGAAAAATCGTGGAGCTCGAAATTTATTTTTAAGGCATAACGAGTCATGATATTTTGTTGGAAAGAAAGCCCTGCATACGTGAGATATCTTTTTTTCTTTTCTTTTCGTTTTTTTTTTTTTTTTTTAGTAAAGCTAAGCTTGAATAACCCATCATATAGCGCAGCGCAGCCGTGACGTCATACAAACGAAGACAAAGGCGAAATTCGGACAAACAAACTTACAAGTTTACTTTCAGCAGATAATTTTCACAGCCGATCGCAGTTGATCTTAGTTTACATGGGTTATTATTGTAACTTTAAGTAAAAATAATAAAATCGGTTCGTATAATCCTCGTAGCGGTTCAACAGAATGCAATGTTTGTCCGAATCTTTAAGCTATTTTCAGAATCAGTGCGCTGCCCTATTATCGCAGGTGTTGATGAGGCAACTTGAATCTCTTTCAGGCTTGTCCTTTTTAGCTTGGTCGTAGATTCTTTATGTTGAGTGGGTATAATGCCAATCGAAATAACATAAGTTACAGACCTTTTTAGCGTGGACGTAATATTTCCCCATTTCAGACCAAGTGCATTACCTAGAGTATTATTTTTTTGTTTAACAGTTGAGCATGAGAAGACAAATGAGTATGGATACGACTCAAACAAAGAATCCAAGAGAATGGCAACATGGTCTGAAATGGGAAGCCATTACGCCCAAGGTAAAGAGATCTACAAGGATTCTTTTTGATGAAGATTATGTTAAACATACCAGCGTGTGCAAGACTAAGGGCCCATAAACGAAGATACGAAGCAGTGTTGGATATACATCCAAGACAGTACTCAATAGTATGGATTGCCTGGTGAACAAACACCTCACCGAAGTCAAACTGAAAAACAAAAATGATTACATTTTGTAAGTGATGTTATCACAGCAAAAGAGAAGATTATAACTATTAGAATCATGGCAGTTGGTCGTGTCAATGTGCCATTAGCCTGTTCCCGGAAAACCCTCGAAGAACGAGAGAGCTAACGAGCAACAACAATAAAATGCAATGAACTTTATCTTAAAAGGGTGAAGTATTAACTGCAGGAGTTATCTACGTAACTTACGACCATCCTATAATAGCCCTTACCCTAAAAAATGCTAGACAAGAGAGAATAAGCCTGAAGCGAGATGACGTTTTACCCCCGTCTCTAGACCATAATCCTTTTCACATTGCTTTTGTTCTTTAATTACGACTACTGTTCCTGTATTTTTTAAGGAATCAAAAATTTTAATATGAAAGAATTTTAAAAACTATTATAGTATAGAGTCGGGGGTAAAACGCCATCTCACTTCAAGCTTATTGAGAAACTTTAACTTCAAAACTCCAGGAGTTATCTAACTTACGACCATCCCATAATGGCCCTATCCCTAAAAAATGCTAGACAAGAGAGAATTGAGAAACTTTGGTTTCAAAAGCAATTAAATGAACCTAGTTTGAAAACGTCACAGGATGATGTACTGAAGAACCATGGAAAGATATGGAAAGTGGTCAATAGTCCTCTTCACCTTGGGAGTGGAGTTTTCCCTTTACAGACCTTGTATCATTCCTTAGTGCAGTCTTCGTATGACTGTGAAAAATTCACGGCACGAACACGGTCATGTCACGGCAAGGGATACGTCAGACCAATCACATTGCACGAGAATTTACTCTCCATCCAATCAAATACCCGGAACACAGCATAAACACAGCGCGGACACGGTCACGCCAAGATCACGACACTTTTAGACAAATCATATTGCGCGTGGAAAAAATCAGCCAATTAAAATTCTAGAAAGTATCACGGTCACGGCACGTCACGCTTACGGCACTGAGCTTTTCACAGTCATACAAAAACTGCTCTATCATTTCTTTGTTTAACGGTTACGCATGAGAAGACACATGAATATGGATACAACTGAAACAAAGAATCTTATTCTCGAGACAACGACACATGGTCCATAATAGCTATAAGCTAAAGAGGTATACTGTTCTCCATAAAACTTGACCATAAGACGAATACTTCTCACCTCTTCTACCTGACTGTCTTCCCTGTGTTCTACAGTACCACCACCTTCATGTTGAACGGTGTCAATGCCATCATCACGAAGACGATGAAAACCCTGAATGGCATAAGAATAGCATGAGGAATTAGACTTGGTCATTAGTTATTAGAGATCAAAAGAGGGAAGTCAACCAGTAACACCCCGAGACACTTTACACCTAATAGACCTTTTGAGCTTTGGATGTAATATTTTCCCATTTCAGACCATGTGTCATTGTCCTGAGAAAAAGACTCTTTTTTTTATTGTATCCATATTCACATATCTTGTCATGTGCAACCGTAAAAAAAATATAAATCTCTAGGGTATGACACGTTGTCTGAAATGGGAAAACATTACGCACAAGGTAAAGAGGTCTATTCAACCATTTTCTGACCAAAAACTAAGGAGGAAAATAAATTTTGAGTAAATTAAAGCAGAGGACAAGCAGAGCAACACTCCAATTAAAGGCAAATCACAAACTCACCAATCCTTTCTGCACGCAAAATAAGAAAAGACTAAAGACAATTTCTAGCAAAGCAGAGGACACAACAAAAGGTCTCCCACTAAAGGCACCCATAGACACCCACGGACACAAATAGCTAATCAACTTTTCACATTTCAGACCACATGCCATTTTTTTTAATCGTTATGCATCAGAAGACCCAAAAACATGGATACAACTCAAACAAAGAATCTTAAGAGAATGACTTGTGGTCTGAAATGGGAAAACATTA